TTAGTCTTTTCTGTTGCTGTTTCAACCCAGGTAGCAAAGGCATGGGCGGCTGGGAAGGAGGCATCCGAGTCCCCGGCATCGCCCGCTGGCCCGGGGTGCTGCCGGCCGGCCGGGTCATCCAGGAGCCCACCAGCCTGATGGACGTCTTCCCCACGGTGGTGCAGCTGGGGGGCGGCCAGGTCCCCCAAGACAGGTAGACAATAGCCCAAGGAAAGCAATTCAATTTTGCATAGAGACACACAGGTACATCAGTGGTCACTGTCACTTTTGCATGACATAAGGCATCGGTGAGATCAGGACGCTTATCACTGTCTATGGAAATCATGTGTCTGCTGCTTGTATACACAAAGTGTCTTCTCTCTCTTTTCCTGACTCGTAAGTGAGGCCAACTTTCTTTTAAGGGTGGTTCTCGTAGAAAAAAATGTCGCAATATATCTGCAAGCCATTACCGTATTTCCCCAGGGATACGACGCTCCCCATGTCTAAGACGCACCTTAATTTGGGGGCCCCAAAATTGAAAAAAAACGTATCACATAAAGTTATTGAACTCAAGTTTTCTTCATCACAAAATTCATACAACTCATCACTGTCAAAACTCCCGACCATGAGCTTGTCCTCATCTGTGTTTGATGACGAACCACTGTCTTCATATATTGCCTCGTCCTCAGCGGGAAATGCAAGTAAAAAAAATCTACAACCCCTGTATAAGACGCACCTAGTTTTTAGACCCCAAGTTTTTCGAAAAAGGGTGCGTCTTATACATGGGGAAATACGGTACTTTTGATTCAGTGTGGTACAAGCTTTTTCTGTGATTCCCAATTTTTCTGGTCTTAAAATGTATAGGAAATTCGGGGGGAAATAGAAAATAAAACAATTGCGTAAACTAAGCAGCCTAGAGATTAATACATGAATGATACATAGATATTATACATATTTATTTTATATATTCTTTATATATACAGAGGGTGCCCAAAAATGTATACGCATTTTAAGCTGTATTAAAGTTGTAAACCTCAATCTATACAGATAACAAAAGATGAATACAAGTGACGTGTGACGTCTGCAATGACAAGAGGTGCTGAAAGTGGTTCCCATCAGCGTCATTTTAATAGTTTTTTCGTTTCTTAAACTGTGTATACATTTTTTTGGCACCCTCTATATTATTACATATTGCTTGTATATGCTCATCTATTGTTTATATATTTTTATATGCTTATATATATATA